CTCTGCAAGACCCCCAAGGCACAGTCATGCATGTAATTCTCTACAGCTGAAGCAGCCCCCTCCCCCAGCTTTTCCACTTTTCTCTGAGCTGCACTGGTCCAAACTTTAACAGAGTCATACAGAAAACATATAAAAAAAATCCAAGCTGAAAAGTAACTTGCAAGTAACAAAAAGTTATGCCCCATCAATTATCTGAGGAAAGCAAAAACCTATTTCCCTGACAGTCATGCATGTAATTCTCTACAGCTGAAGCAGCCCCCTCCCCCAGCTTTTCCACTTTTCTCTGAGCTGCACTGGTCCAAACTTTAACAGAGTCATACAGAAAACATATAAAAAAAATCCAAGCTGAAAAGTAACTTGCAAGTAACAAAAAGTTATGCCCCATCAATTATCTGAGGAAAGCAAAAACCTATTTCCCTGTAGGCCTACACAAATACCTGTTCTGGAAAATAATACGGTTGGGAACAGAGAGCCCACAGCAGGGTCAAGTATGCAGGAGCCACAGCAAGTGTGTAAGTGATACCATTGCCCGAAATTGAGCAGAGCTTTTCCTACCTGCCTTAGCTATGGAGTAAGTTGGCAAATTGAGCCCTCAGAAAGAAAAACTCACTTCAGGCTCATGAAGGTGTCATTTGACATACAGTTCATAAACGCAATAAAAGATTAAAAACGTGAATGTTTTCTCATTCCACAACCAGAAATCTGTAGTCAGTTTGATTTTCTTCATATACAACCACCATTTATGAAGAAGAGAATTCATTAATATAACCTCCCATTAGCTTGAATGTCCTCCCTTAGTTTTCTGATGAAAGTTACTAAGGGGTTAACTGCTGGAACACTAAAATAAAAACAATATTTTTTACTGCTTAATGTTGGGGGGGAACCACATTCAAATGAAAACAGCCACTACTGCAAATGGAAACTAATAACCCTCTCCCAAGAGGCTGGCTCCTCCTAGACTATGAAACCTGAACATGGATGAAATTACATTTTACAGATTTTAAAAAAAAAAAAAAAAATATAGAAAAAAGGAAAAAAAGATCAGAACTCCCCCTGCTGTTCAAGCCCAAAATTTGTTTGTTTGTTGTTAAGTTATTCCGTGCTGAAAAAATAGACAGAGAATGAAAGTTAAAGGATGTGGAAGGTGGCAGTAAGGAGAAAGAACCCAAAGAGTAAAAAGCCATGGCAAACAGGACTGAAAAAACACACTGGTTTGGAAGAGACCAATTGAAGAAAAGTCAGGAAAGAAAACAAAATCCCAAATGTAACCGATGAAGCTTCAGATTGTATCACCATCAATGCCTGTCAATCCAAGCCTGTTAACTATTTTGACTAAAAAGAACTCTGCTCTTTTTAAAAGAAATGATATGTCGAATTAAAATTTTGCTAATTTTTTAACATTCTAGCTGTCAAGCTGCCAGCCCAAACCATTTACAACATCCACTACTGTTACTCATCTGCCAAGTAACAATGTCAATTTTAGTGACTGTAACACTAATTCTCAATAAAAAGTAGTCTTTCTTCATCAAGTGCAGTTTTAGATTATAGTAGCTTAACGGGCCTCTAATCAGAGAGGCTGCAAATGTAGCCAGACTTAATAATACACGGAATGCTACATATAGGCAAACACACAGAGCACAGCAAGCTACCAAATTTCTGCTCCCAGAGTATAGGCCTCACACACGCACCTTATAAACGTGGAGTCCTCATACAAAACTGTATTTAACTCCTTGCCACGGGAATAAAAATTAAGAACAAAAGAGCAAACTCTATTTAAACGTTAATGTGGGATATTTAACTGAACCCACTATCTGTCACTTGACAGTCACTTTTACCTTATTTTGATACGCTGCCAAACTGGCATCATTTCCAGTAAACAATAAGGGCAACCGGTAACTACTCTGCTTTGCCCATTGTTTGCTAAGTATTCTGCGAATACAGAAATTCCTCAGAAGCAAGGCTCAACTTCCACTGAAGTTCGAAGGAAGAAACATTTTGACTGAAGAAATGTGCCTTGGCAATAGAAGCATTACCTACAAAACCATTTCTTTTGCGAACACCTAGGCACACACTTCCCTCCCCCACCCCACTTCTGAACAGATATAGGTAATACATCCCTTCTGTATCTTTCCCAATTCTTTGGTAATTGGCTAATTAAAAAACTCTGTGCTTGTCACACTATGCACGCACCGCAATAGTAAATACTAATTTGACACACAAACTCCAGAACTTTCCTAAGTTCGCATTATTCACCATTACTTCTATCATTTCATTGCTAACTTGCTAATGCCCTTCCCAACAGATTTATGTCCACGTGAAAGGAGGAATATGTTTGTGTCTGCTTCCCAGGCAGCACCTGGCAACTATCATAGCTGATACTCAAGGTAGCCCCCTCCTCCTCTCTACTATTAAAATCTCCAGCTGAAATGGGCACGCATTCTCTTTTCTTGAGGCTTGCACATGCCTTTTCAGCATCCTGAAGATCCACCGCCACCTCTGTGGAGGCAGCCAGATGTCCCAGCCCACACCGTTTCCCAGGCAACCAGCACAGCACAGCCATGCACAGATGAAGCCAGGCCTGCTGCATTTCTCAACTTCTTCCAGTGCTTCTAAACCCTTCTAACCACAAACTACATAAAGCTAAATTTCCATTAAAGCTTATGGCAATAATCTTTATGCATCACTAAAGTAAGAAGAACTAAGGCTAGCCTGTCTCCTGCCCCAGTAAAGAACGAGTTCACACACCCAAAGTGCTCCTCCAGAGAGGATGGGTACTTTGCTGTTGGAGCAAGACCATCATGGGTGACACGGGGAGACCAAGACAATAAGCACTACTGGGGCCGGAGTGTTTTGGAAGCAGAGGGTAAGGAGGCAACAGCAGCCACATGTCCATTGTAGGAGGATGGAGTAGGAAACACAGTTTGACACACAGAGTTATTGAAGATGCCACCTCCCTTACCAAACTACTCAACATCTTTTGTTGGATCACTGAATGTTCACTCCAGTACCATTGCCATCATAACATTAAAAGAAAAGCAAACAACTTACCCCTCATGTACGATCCTCTTAAGACAAATAACTAAAAGGCTGGCAGCACTGTATGATTTCAGTTTTGTTATCAGAACTTAGTTTTTTCACTTATGAACAGCAGCATAAGGCAGTGGAGATAAGTGAAAAGGGGCAGCATCCATCTTCCTCTTAAAACTTCGCTATCCGACTGTTATAATGTAAATGGTATTTTGAATCATCAGCAGTCTTTGGCAGTAGTAGAGATTAATATTGCCATTTGTGGGTTTATTTTTATCCTGCAACTCACAAGCACTGAAAATAAACCACCAAAGTGCTGCTGCTTCTCAGTGATTCTTCTGTCAAGAAAAATTCTTACAGAGAAATGCTTTGTTTTGAAGGCAGTAACTCACAATAAATAGATAAGTTGCAAGTAATTTTAACAACCCAAGATGTAAACATGGTTGTGTACAACTGCACAACTGAAGCTGGAGTAACCATTGGGTTGAAAATCTGTAGTTACATGAAAGCTGTCTGGGATAAACAGGGAATGTATAAACAGAACGTCGCTGCTGAAAGAATGATTTACAGTCATGGAGATGGTGACAGCTCCACTCCTGAATGTGAAACAAAACAAAGCTACAAATATGTAGCGTGTAATCAGTTTTTTATTCTTCAGTTTTAAATAAAAATTTAAAAAATAAAATTAATGTATTTTCCAACAGAATAGTTTTCATGGATTCACTGCTTGGGTTTTTTGGTTGGTTGGGTTTTTTTTGTTTGGGGTTTTTTGGGTGGTGGTGGTGTTTTTTTAACAAACAGCCCTACTTGGCTGTTATTTAGAACTCTCTTACTTTCCTAGTGACAAGCAGAGAACTAAGATAACACACACAAGTCAGATTTTGGCCTCTGCTCCTAAGAGAGAAAAAATACATCGGAAGTGCTAAAAGAACAATGATGCAAAACAAGTTTGGATACCGATACAAAAATCAGGATTTCTGGTTTTCCCAGGCTACCACTGCACTTACCACAGAGTCATCTCAGGCATTTTGCCTTAAGCCTACGAAGAACTGTAACACTGAATATGAATCACAAAGCTACCCCTTGCCCTCAAACGCGTGATTCTGTACGGCAACACTAAACTGACACCCACAATGGAACAGTTTAGGAACTAAGATGACTGGATGTCAAATACAGTTATTTTGCATAAGGAATAATATATATATATAATTAATGGACTGGCTCAGTTAAGAAAAACACAACAACAATAATCACAAACCAACAGAAAATCTAATTCTAGGAAAAGAAACTGGCAAGGAGAGCAGGAATTCAACATTAGGATAAGCTTCCTTTCTGTCAAAATCCTAACATCACTGACAAGGCTTACATTAAACCAGTATTTCTTCCAAGCAGAGCCATACAAGTAAGCTGCCCAGATTTGTGACTGCAAAACCCTGATGAGCAGAACTTAAACAGAACAGCTGGAACAACTGAAGAGGATGATGCTTTAAAAACTTCCTTTAGATGGAGACAACTCACTGAAGTTCTCAGAAATCCCTCCAATCTTTTTTAACAGTGCTTCAGTCAGGTAATTAAAGAACACAAAGAACAACAGAAAACAACAGGACTCCTGCTATACTTGTAACAGTAAGTGACCCTGTTTTGAAATAAAAACTTGACAGCTTTAGAATGAGATCTAAACCAATTAAAGCCTCTAACCTACCATAACCAAGAGCTTCATTAAAGTGTTATTTTCCAACAGAAAAATCTCTTTACAGACAAATACAGTATAGACAAAAATACAACACCGTGTAAATAATTAAAAAAACCCTGTAATTTTATCTGAAGATCTTTTCCTTAAAGCTTTACAAATCACAGTTGGACTATCCTGATATATCAACACTCAAGAGCTGATAAGATTTTTCTAAGGATGAGACATTCATAACTTCTGTGTGGATTTTTTGGCATGAATAATACAGCTGAATTTATACCACAACTGCATGTATTACCCACTGGCTAATAAATTAGTTGCTTCAGGGGCTTTTTCCTGGTTAAGGACACTAATTTTGCTCTCTTGTCTCCCCAGCCCCATTTTCACAATACCACAAGATGTCCCAGGAATGCTGATATCTACAAAGTTTGGGTGAAATTGGCCAAAAGATACAAAAGTAATTGAAAAAATGGGCATACAATGTGGCTATATAGACATCACTTCAGCCCCTAAAAAACTTACCTAGTTGAAGGATCATGACTGTATCATTGAAGGCACGTGTCACTAATCCGAAATGTCTGTGTAGAGGATAGCATAGCACTCTTCTTCCAAAAGATACCAAGACATCATGAATGCTAGTGAAACTCTGTGTGTATCAGTGAAAAATCTGAATTAGTCTGTGCGCTTCTCTAGACAAAGAATTAATTTGTACTGGAAAAAAGTCATAGCAGCATACCTAAAAATCACATTTTTATATATTATGCATTTCAAATTTGTATTTTAACAGATAGAGAAATCAACAGATTAAATAGAAACAAGACACTGCACATTCAGTTTGCCTGAAAGGATATCAGAAATCCCATACATTTTAGTGGGTTTGAATTAAAAAAAAGAATGTAGAGAACATTGGAATAAAACATCTAGCTCCAGACTTTGCCATTCTTTAGATTAAAGCAATAAATTACATCTGTCCCACATTATTATATATATATTAAGAGGAAGCTATAAAAAGCCTTTTAAGAATAAAGAAAAATTAAAGCCACATGATATTAACAAAATACATGTGTACATATAAGATCCTTAAAAATGATACATGACTCTGCCTTTCATGAAAATTACAGATATTCACGACAGAGATAAATATATCTGCCTAGGGAAAGCAGTTCATTGTCCCCTTTTACGAGTGAGGAAGACCTCCAATTTACTAAGGCCAGAGGCATTAATGAGTTATTAAAGACTTTCTTAAGGGAGAGTGATTTCCTTTCCAGCTTTCACTTTTCAAGACAAAATATTCCATTTATGAATTCAAATAAAAATATCTATTTCAACTTCAACTCTCAATTTATTAAAATTAATAAAAACACTTTGCTGACAGCCAGCACTTTTTTGCACTGCATGACTACCTCAACCCATTTTTCATTTTAATGGATCACCGGTAAGCATTTAAATAATTTATGTTTTGTTATTTAATATTTAGAGTCTAAGGTGTGTACACGTCACGCACAGCAAAATGGCAGTCAGTTCAAACAACCCATAGCTGAGGCAATTTTGTTTACAGATGGATGAAAACACCCGCCTCTACATGGTTTGTATAACAGATATAGTTATTAACAGCTTGGTGCCAGGAGACTGAATTTTCTGGGTGTGAAATATACTGTTGGCACAGGCTGCGCCAAGAACTGCTACATTATAGGATAAGCACATGCAGAAAACTCCTTCACTATGTTAGGACATGGATCTGAAAAAAATCGGGAGTTAAGGCAATCACCGCCTTTTAACCGCACTCCTTTGTGACTTGGTACTGCAGAACATTCCATTGGAAACAAAACTAGCAGATCTGGAAACTCAGTGGCCATAGAACAAGTTGTACTGAATATAACATTCACCACTACTAGAAATGTTTGAAGGGCTAAACCCAAAAATCCTGTCAGAAATTTCATTGCAAGGAAAACTGCGACTTGGCTCAGTAATTTCAGGAATGAGGACGGGACAGTCCTTTCTAGCTTGCTGCCATCTGAAGAAATAATGGATTACAGGCCAGGTTAAGTCCCTCCACTTCCAGCTTTGCAACAGCCCACTTACAGAGGCCTGTGTGCTTTCAGTAAACGATCTGTAAGTGCAAAGAATAGAGTCCAAATCCAGTTTGTTTCCTTTAGTCTGCTCTGGTTTTAAAGGGCTAGCGGCAACAAAACAAATACGGATGCGGCAATAACACTGAAAAGAAGGGGGTAGGTAAAGCAACACATGTCCACTAACTGCAAGAGACCTGAAACAGAAGTATTCAGTGCTTGTCTGAAAAGATCACACAACCATTAAAGCCTTAACGAGACAACAGTTTTACAGCTACAGAACTGAGGTATTTTTGCTACAAGAACATGGAATTCAGCTTCTCCATGATAGGTGAAAGAAACAACCCAATTGTGATTGAGTTCTAAGAGCTTTTCCCATCATGGGTTCGCATTTACTTCTGGGCTTCCCAGTTCCACTCCAGTTTCTCCAGAAGGAGGCCCAACATCTGGACAGATGAGAGGTCATACTCCAGCCTCTTGAGGCTACTAGTAGCCGGGAGCCCGAAAGTCACTAGCACAAGAACATGGAATTCAGCTTCTCCATCACATGTGAAAAAAACAACCCAAACCTTGTGATTGAGTTCTAAGAGCTTTTCCCATCATTTGGTTCGCATTTACTTCTGGGCTTCCCAGTTCCACTCCAGTTCCTCCAGAAGGAGGCCCAACATCTGGACAGATGAGAGGTCATACTCCAGCCTCTTGAGGCTACTAGTAGCCGGGAGCCCGAAAGTCACTAGCCATTTCTTGTAACGTTTACTAAAAAGTGAGCATACATTCAGTTCCTCCTCAGTACTGAAGGAGTAAGCTTTCCACAAAGGCAACATACAATACCGAAACCAAGTAACACAGCCAGTACAGAATGCAAACCTCAAGTTTTAACTTACCTCCAGCCAGCACAATGTTGCACTCAGTTTCCTGACATTCCAAGATGATTCAACCTGATTTTAAGAGGAGACCGTAAAACAAGTATTATCTAATTCAACATTCAAGACTGCTGGCAAACTATTTAAGATAACATTCTGGCAGCAATTTAAGAACCTTTGTGAATACGAAGCAGTAATTATATTATGTGCATTGAAATGGCCACAGGACAGTATTAAAAATTATATTGCAATGCAGATGTTAAATAACTGAATTGGTTTCCATACTGGGAATATCTAGCCCATGCACAAAGCCTTTAAAATAAAACAGGAATCTCAGAAAAGCTGTACTTTAGTGGAATTTTGTCCCTTTTCACCAAGCAACAGAAACTTGACTCAAAGCTCAAGCTAAAATGCCTTGTTTCGTGAAAACAGCTCAAGACTTTTGGCTTTCAGAGAGGGACCTAAAGCCAGCAGTACATGTATATGTCATTATTCTTCAAATGTGACAGATTCATAGCATTCGTGTGGTAGCTTGGTCTAGTGGGATGATTAGGGCAAAAAGCCAGGAAGCCTCAATCTATAATCCTGGCTCTAGTAAAGATTTGTGTGGCCTGAATGTCTTGGTTTTGCTATTAAAAAGGAGAGAGAAAGAAAAAAAAAAAAAAAAGAGAGAGGGAAAAACCCCCAACCCCACAATGTGTTTTCCACATATACCATACGGTTATCGTGAAGATCAATAATGATCTGTACATTTGTGTTCCTTGCATATTTGCAATTTTGTGCAACCCTAATATGCAACACAACAACCGACAGATTATTCTGTTGAACAGGCGGGTCTGGACATTTCTGACGTTCTACAATCTATGCTCTGCAATTCAGTCTGATTAAGACAGAATGGGTTTGATTTTATGTTCTGATATTCTGATTAAAAGCATTGAGAAAACATCTCCTTAGTTAATATCAGCAGAGGAGATAGGCACAAAGCTGTAACTGGCATTTAAGTCCATTTCAAAAAGACAGGCTTTCTACAGAAGAGCGTGGAATCCACTCTAAACTTCCACTATTTTCTTAATTCTTTATATCCTGTAAAAAGCACAGGATACAGAACACACAATGAAGCTGGCTGCTGGCTTGTGTGAGAGACAGGCAAGCACCAGAATCCTGAAAATGGAAACATGCCTTCCTGCTTCCCTCCACTGTTTGAATACTAGAAAAAGTAAACTGTACATTAAGGTATTTTTTTAAAATGTGTGTCAACTTCCAAATTTTAAATGCCTCACCCTAGTGTCCAGAATGCCTCAGGAATCACCTTCCATACTTAGTGCGTAAGCTTAAAAAAACCCCAGTTTTGTTGAAAGCAAATAATGGTGGGCTATACACTTACATTCTTGTCTCCTTCATTGACACATACTTCGTAGCAATACGCCAGAAGGATATCGATTAAACCAAGATATACATGATGACGGCTTCTTTTATCCAGAAGATAAGATTTATTTGTGAACTTTCTCAGCTGCTCTTTCTCTTCCTCAGAGAAGACAACTATAAAAAGAAAAAGGATAATTGATTATGAATTTATAGCTGGAACATTCATTTTAATAGGTGGTAATACTACCTCAATGATCTCTTTAAAAAGAAGCGTGTTACTAATCACAAGTCACTCATCACTCAAGAAAAAACCTAAATCATTCTTCCTTTCATTAAACCCTGACACAGTCCTTTCAAAGTCAAGTTCCAGCCCTGCAGAGTACTGCATGTACGCAGTGGCAATTTTGAACCCCTCTGAAAGTGCCAGGTATTTCTGTGGATGCCAAAGGCATAGCCAGGATATGAGTAAACTGAGGTTTCTTAAGTCCATGTTGTATGGCATAAAAAATAAGAAAACAGGGAACAAAACCAAATATATTTTCTTACTGTAGAAAAGGGTAAGAACTAAAGAAATAGGGAAGGAAAAATAAAGGAAAGTTGTAATTCTGTATTTCCAGCCTCATCAATTTTGACTCATGACCTAGACATGATTTAGGAGCTTCATTCATGCTGATGACATCCTTCCAGCGTGTGAGAAAGATCAAAGAAAGATCAAAATCCTATCCCCACCAATGTTGGTACAAGAGCTGCATCTTCTTCCAAAGAGCGATGGAATCCACCAGCAGTGACCATCACATTTTCCGTATCTGTGGTGTACCTCATTCAGTTAAGAACAGATGTACTGAGCCAACCCAAAGAATCTTCTCTGCCTGTACCTTCTCTTTGAGATGCATAAGAAAGATCACAACAACGCAGCTGGCATGCTGTGACAACGCATCAGAAGCATTTCTGTAGGAAACAGCGGTATAGACACGGATAGCTAAGATTGAATATCGAAGAGTACCTTCTGAAGAGTACTTAAAACACTTGAGAGGGGATGGCAGAACTGCCTTGAAATAACAGTAGAAGAGATGAAGTAGGTAACTGAGAAGCTGTCTCTGTGCAAACTCAAAGTAAATCAAGAAACCATTTAGTACTACTGAAACAGCCAGAAGCCAGCCCTAAGAGTTTTTCACCCTGGCTACATGGAGTACAGGCATTTGATGTCAACAGGCTCCAATTTACTAAATAGGTCAGACGGAGTAAGCACATTTCAGCCACGCCACAGAAGAAAGTACAGGCACAAGGTGACTTGACAGGAGAAAGCCGCGTTCCTAGCTTGACAGCTGATGCTTCGTTGCATTGAGGAAGTGCCACACTACGGGGGATGCAGCTGGGCATCACCTGTACTCCAGAGCCCTGGACTCTCAGGACACAGGCAGCTAAATTCTTAGCCGGGGCTTACAGCACAGGTTACAGAAAGAAAAGGTTACAACTCCTAGTAAACCAAGCTCCTTTTTACACCTCTTGCCCATTTCTCTATGATGAAGATGATGACTGCAAATGTGGTGACAGATGTTTCTCCCCAAACACTGCTCATCGTCGTTTTACACCATCCACCTTCTCAGGGATATAATCTGCCTACAAGACACGTGGCCATCTTTATCCCAGGAGGTTTCTGCAAGCTTTCTGATTTCATTACATGTTTTGAAGCCAATGTTTGTGATGCCAAAGGCACATACATAAGCACAGACCACATCTTCAGACTTAAAATTACAAATTAGGAAAAACATTTTTGAATGTTTCTTTATTAACTTTTTTTTAATGTTTCTATCAGCTTCATAACCAGGAAATACTTGATTTAAATTCCTATAGAAACTTCTCAATGAGCTAAACATTTCTCTGGAGTCAAACCAGTCTCCATTTATTTACAAGCTCCCACAAAAAGAAATTCCAGCTTTTATATCATCTTGAGAAAGCAAATCTCTTCCCCTTGTTATGATCTAGTATAAAGTGACAATTCAGCAAGACTATGGCAGTTCTAACTGTTTTTCTGTTAATGCAATCCAGTTCAATATTACTCCTTAAATCACAAATTTGGATATATCTATATTCTATCAGCAAATTTCTTTAAGTTCCTAAACTGCATTGACTCTTCAGTGAGTCACCTCTCTCGTTCATATTAAAATTATTCATAAAACCACAAGTGTGATGCTGTAGCACATTTGAAAAAAATTAGTTTCTGAAAAACATAACATAAAACCACTTTGTAAGCTGTTACAGTAGGCTGGGTTTAATGAGGTATCACAACAGGGTGTTTACAGTTACAAGAAAGTCCAATTGGAAAGAAAAAAAGGCATGTCCAATTTCAGCTGGCTTACACTAGAAAACCTGCTCCTGGAGCACAACAGAGTTTATTATAAAATCACGTGCAAGTCTTAGTTTCACCCTGAAGAGAAGCACAAGAGAGGTGAAACTGAAGCTAAAGGAGGAAAAGAAAATCCAAAAAGCGAACCCAAAGTTTGCTAGCTAAGACTACTACAGCAGATCAGATGCATAAAGCTTAAAACCACTTGTCATGGGTCTTGTGTGATGATTACAGTAATAAACAAGTTTGTTACAAAGAAGCCAAATTCCTTCAAAGCACATGAGCATCTATCACAGAGACAACACTGGCTGAACAGTTATGACAGCACCCTCCTATTTCTAGGTCCACCTCCGTGTGCTTGCTAGTTCACAGTCAAGATACGCACACATATCAGGAGTGAAACTGTTCTTCAAAAACTCATTTATATTCAGTACCGGATACACTACTGAGAATCCACTCTTCTTGATCAACAACCACAATCTGAAGTTTAGTTTTGTCTCATAGTTGATCAAAATTAACAGAGGAGATACCATCAGAGGTAAGAAACAGTCCAACACGGAGAGCAAACAAATTGACTTTTTAAAGTTTTACTAAGAAGTATTTATTAAAATACACATTTTAGAGGAATACATAAACGTGACCCATACTTCTCTTCTAAGCAGAAAGCAAAGAAACTCCCAGTGAATTTCAAGAAACACAGGAGCGAGTTTCTTTCCTCTAAAATGCAAACTCTCTGACGCATCATAACATATACTACTGGACCATAAACACAGAAAATGCAAGTCTAGTAGACAACAGCACACAGGACCTAGACTAGACAATTCCCAAAGGTAAATGTTACAAGATGTTCATTAACTCACTGCAAAGTGCCAGGTGTTCTAAATAAAACTTCTCTCTCTGGAGAAAATACTTCAACTTTACAAACAAATATATATTAATTCCTTAAAGTTTTGGAATAATAAATTATCCAGGCCTGAAACTCATTATTAACCCATCAAACCCACCAACAACTTTGTTTTCCTAATTCAAAAATATTGATTTGTCTCTTGTGCTTGAACTTATTGCTGACTGATAAGGTTGCTGAAACTTTCCACAATGCTGACAACATCTCTTTCCTGTATGGGCTCTACAACACCCAAAAAGATGGCACTGAAGAATCAATAAATGCAGTCTTTCCTTTGTACACAGGGCCGTTTTTGCAGAACTTGCAGGAAGTGGCCTTCTTTGAGACCCCCCCCAAAGCTCTGTCAAGGAGACTGTGGTCAGATGAGCCTCAGTTCTTTTGGGAAGCAAATTACAAGGCCTAGAACCACAAAGCTGCCTTCCTCTACACATCTGTATTCACTCTAGATTACAGTCAAGTCTGATTTGTTCATCCCTCCTGCTTCTTTGCAATTCTTCCATTCAGATTCTAGCTACCTCACAAATACCTTTTCCTCCATGTCAAGCTTCCACCCTTCTAATTCTCACATCAACATTTACAGCACATTTCTCCACATTGATTCTGACCTTCTTCCTCCAGGCATTCTCCATAAACCCACTGGATTCAGACAGTCTTTACTGGATCTCACAATTTCCTTTATATTAATTTTTGTCGTTATTCTTCAACAAATCTGCAGTACCTATAAACCATATGAAAACCATACATCATTCCTTCCCTTCATGTCATACTGTTCCTGCTTTTTAAAATCCGAGATACTCAATATATAAATGAGAGGTCTCTATTGTAAAGAACTTTGCATGAATAAACAGCCCTCTTTTCTCACATGAAAAATACCTGCTCTGCAGCAGAACAGTGCCAGGAAGGTACACGTGCTGCAAAGGCCTCGAAGACTGAGTAAAACAGCCTGATAGAAGAATTGCAGAGCTGTGATAAAAACAAAAAGTGATTCATCTTAAATTTATGAATCTACCAGTACTGGCATATATTTGAGTAGAGCCCTACTGAAAGGCAAATCTTTAAAAAGGAAATTGCTTCTCATTCTATAAAGAGATCAGAAAGAGAGAACGGTCACTGGTAAGCATGACAGGTTACCCTAAACAAAATAAATTATCCCTGACACACACAGATGTTATATTAAATGCATATGTCAGCCTGAACCTTTGAAGATTATTGTGTTGCCTAAAAAGGAGTTTTTACAATTGTGCAATTTGAAGTAGAATAAAAATGAACTTTTAACTAAGTTGAATGTGACTGTTACAAAATACAAAATCTTTCATCTGGAATCTGTAGAAGCAAGACTGTAATGTAAACTTCAGCAGCAGCAGAGAACAAGCTTTCCAAAAGTTTTATTCCCTCATGGGAAAAAGCTGTGTAATTAGTTAGGCTTTATGGAGTATTGCTTGACTTGCATTAGACATTGCAAGCGTGAACAAAATCTGGGCCTTTCAGCTTTAGACAATGTCCACTCCAAAACTGGTATTTTGCTACAAACATCACAGTTGAAACCTTCTCTCTAGGAACCCCTTCTGGTTCCTCATCCATACTGCAAAGGCAGTAATCTTAGCTGCCTGGTGACTAACAAACCGAGGGGAGAAACAAATAAATAAATAACCACAAAGGGCAAGAAAATTTTTTACTGTGCATTACACAGTAAAAAGTGTAAAAGAAGGGCAAAAGAAAGAAAAGGCATTTAAGGACAATAAAAGAAGAAATTAGAAACATACAAAATACACACACCATACATACAAGCTGGAGAAAAAGTTTAAAGGTTAAATAAAAACAGAGTCAAGGCAAGGACAGAAAAGAGCTGAAGACTTTAAATGCTAATGAGAAAAGTTGATCCAAAAAGAAAAAAATTCTGGTAATGAGACATTTAAAAAAAAACTGATGATGTAAAAACAGAAGAGAGAATAACCAGGAATAAAATAGCTGTAATCAACCAAACAAAATCTTCACTTAATTGTAATGCCATGCAAAAACAACAACAACAAAAAAAAGGCAGCATGTGTTTTTCCTAATTACTCCTTGTAGCTGAAGACATTTTCAAGACAGAAGTAAACAAGTTCTTGGTTCCAAGAAACCAATGACGATAAAAACCAAAAGGACATCAGTATAAATCAGCAGAAGGAAGAAACAACAAGATAATTGTCTTGGTTCAGTGTTTCTGAATAAGAAAACATACTTTTAAAGAGCCTGCTAATTTTTATGTCACTTTCCCCACACTAAACTCACTTTTCCAGGTAGTAACTTGAGGAGTCAGTTCAAAATGCCATTCCCAATTCCACCTATACTGTGTAGGTGGGATCTGTCCTAATGGCAGCAACAACAGAGCCCAAAATGCAGGGACTCTGAAGTTACCAGGTGTCACATTCTAGTGCAAATTCCTCAAGCTTGAGGTAGCCTGCACTGTAATCTATCGTCTATTTTAACATTACCATTCCTACCTTCTTGTGCTACCAGTCATTTCCCTTCAACGAACAACCCTCTAAAAAGACACACCATATCATGTTTGAGGGTAGCAGACTTCCCCAGCACCAGATGCTGCATGTCTGACAGCACACGATTTCCCTCATCTCCCTCCGTTTTCATGTTCCTGGGTAATGGCTTTGGACAGCACATGTTTAATCAAGAACACAACCTTCCTTCACAGAGGATAGACAAATACTTCTGCAAGCTGGCCGGGACAGTACACCTACCACAAGTTTTACACATTTTAAACACCCCAATATTTGAAGTCTCTTTACGAACTGTATGATGAGAAGTCCTCATCATGGAAGATAATGGAAATCACCTTATTTTAGATGCATCCCTTAATACAAGACATGAATTTGGAACTTAGGAAGAGTAAGAAATCTGGGTACTCTACATTTTATGCATAAGCAATAAAATAAACTGCATGAAGGTTTCAATCCATCCTCCTTTATGCCCTTAAACAGGTTCAAAAGTAAACAGGGGACATTTGTATCTGATTTCTATAAAAAAAAGAAGTTTGACCTCACACCTACCTGCAGGGGAATAGAATACATCCATGCACAGGCTCAAAGACTCACCACACATCACTTCATAAAACACACTGCAATACATATAATGTCTGGCCCCCTTGAGCTTCTGTGCTCAAGTACCCTGTGGCTTTTTATAGCTAAGCACCAGTGTTCAAAGGTTTCTTGCTACAAGCACACTCTAATAGCAATGACAGCCTCCTTATCCTGCTAGCTGTACAGCACACTTCGGCTTAACGCACTCAGACCTCTCCCCACTCCGAGTGGAAATAACATAAAATTTCTCAAGTAGTAAAGAAGGTCCTTCACTCAGCACAGCCCTTCTTTCTTTTATGTGCCTTTTCTATGCCACTTCCACTCACTACATACACATACTGGAACACAGACTAGTGCAGAGATGCAGCCAAAGTGCATTCAGCTTGTAAGAATTCCTGAATCTGTAACTCAGATTAGCCAGACCATCCCTCTGATTGGATAAAGCATAAAAGCCATACAAAACCACAGGGAACTCATCCTATTGATGATCAGATCCCAGGTCCAACAGCCTGGACCCACTTCCTGACCTTTTCTATTTCCATTCATAAAAGACCTTCAAGTGGAACCTGTACTCCCTCTCATGGTGGTTTCTTTCACCACAACTCACTCCAGTTTAGGAACCTCCAATGGTTTCAGATCCTCATTCAGCTGCTTGCCATCCCCAGCTGCTGCAGTCATTCCAACAGCAGCAACAAACCATGCTATGATCCTAACAATGTTATCAAAACTGAGGTCTTCCTGCGGGAAAAGGTGGGTGCCTGTCATCACCATAACCCAAACTCAACAAAGCCTCTTCCCTTACTTACAATTTCCTCAGGACCCACAAACTACAAACTTCACTCAGCCATATGAAGGTCAGGCTACATTTCTTTAATCGTCCTTATTAAATATCTATCTGTTATAACAAATGGTTTAGATAAAAGAGAATCCCTTATGTAGCCCCATTTTCTGTGCCTCTCATTAGTAGGTTTGCTAGGTTTTCGAGTAGTTTGCCTGTTGCTGTTGCCCCTAAAACCCAGCAACACATATATGTGTTTTTCTTCGGAATCTCAATTTGAAGGAAAAATATTCTTTATCAATAAAATCATCCAGCAGCTCCTCATTTTCATTGTATTCCTTAACACAGGCAAATATTAGCAGTGTTTCATTTACTTAGGAATGAATGGATAAAAACAAACAAAAGAGTTCCTCATTATTCCATTTTCAAGCCTCTTGTACCTTTGTCCAGTGCTTATGATGGATATAATTAATAATTCTGGCTTCAGAGGCTGAAAGAGGCCAGTAATGAAGATCAGATTACATTCATAGTAAAATACACAACATTTACCCAAATTCTATTGTTCTCCGGTAGAAAATGTGAAAGTGCAGGTATCATTATTAGCACACTAATATTCGTTAAGAACCTCCCGTGAAGGTGTTATCATTATCTACTTCAGTGATATCAGTTTTTCACACTACCTAGGAAATGAACAAAGGACATTAAAAGAATACACATAATAGCAACCTGTAGTGCTCTCTGCAACCACTGTGTACAGAAAGGTAATCTCAGTTATCCGTTAACAGCATTGTTGTCACCAGGTCATCTACTTAAAAGGGAACTCTTTCTTCACTGATACCTGAAATTCTAGAACGGTCTCCAAAATCTGTTATACAGAAAAAAAAAAAAAAAAAAAAAAGAGATCACTGCTACACTACATAACAAACAGGCAAACCCTCAAGATGAAATGACCACTTTCTAATCAACTGTCTCAAGGATTTCAGTATAGAACTGTTCCTCAGAGAAAAACATTTTCTTTGAGGGCAGGAGAAGTAACAGAATACTCCTCTAAGAACAGTCACGACTGAAAATTGCAGGGTAAAACCATACCTTTCCCTTTAAGAACAATGACTTAGAACATAACATGGCATCACAGTAATTATCATTCAAGCAACAGATTTGTGTATATACAAGTGCTCACCAAATGTACGAGTGTCATGTTCCTGACGACTTTCTCCCTGCAAAGCTATCATCTTCTTATGGGCATCAACCCACCATGGTTTGTACTTTAACACATGCTGAATAGCTTCATCTTCGAAAAAATCGGCTCTAGAAAAAGAAAAGTCATATGCTATTTATTTCAGTGTATAGTGTACGTGGCTGTATTTTAAGGCACACACAGCATACACCTGACTCGGCTCCAGATACAGCAAACCTGAACAGTATCTGTTCTTTGACTTAAAAGCAGAAAATAATCATTATTAGAAGCATAAGCAATATTCTCTTATCCTACAGGACCCCTTCCTTACTTCCTCCACCTTCCCTGAGCCACCCACAAGCCCAGGAAATTGATGCGCTTGCAGCACGACACAAAGGTGAAAAAACCTCATTTGTTCTGGATGAATCTAAAGGAAAATATTCCAAAGAGACAACTTCTCAGAGAATGTCACTGGCAGCAAACTTGATTTTACTAGGAAGCTCTCCCACTTGAAACTGTGTATACTTTGGGGAGTAAGGGTATGGAGCTGAAGGGCAAAGATAAAGTAGGGACAGGGACTGAGTTTTAGGTAAACAAAGGCATGTTGCAACAAGGTAGAAAAAAACAGAGGTACAAGAATTCTGGAAGAGATTACCTCCATCTCAGCACAAAGCCACTGTGGTAAAAATCTCAATATGGTAACTCTGGGAGGATTTATACTACAGGATTCAAGTTCTAAGCCTCTCCTTATCACTTCAGCTTTTTCTTCAAGCCAAACAATAGTATAAACACTGAGAACTGAAAGTAACACAGATATCAGCCAGTGCATGCAACAGAACACTTCTGTTTGTCCCAGAGCTGTCCTTCTCATCAGGGTACACAGGAAAGCAAGTTTTGTTGAGGAGAGGTTGGGATCATCTGTTCTGAAGCATCCAAAACACAGTCATTAAACTAAATGGTTGTAGCTTACCTACCAAGCTAGAGCACAGGGTCTAAGATGGAAACTTAAAATTACTATAATTTGCATCACATTACAGGTTAGACACTACTTCAGTTCTAGTGAAATGTATTTCCAAGTGATGTTTCAAGAAAGCTTTTCTAACTTCTACGTGCTACAGAAAGACATGCAACTGCCTCTGAAACACCTGACTGGGGAAAAAAAATCCAAGTTTGCAAAGATACCTTCTGAAACAACTCAAAACTGGTTAAGCCTACCTCTCCCCGACAAAACACACCACATGTACTAATTCTCCCTACCAGGGGATACACTCTTCTCCAACCAAATCCATCTTGCAGGAATCACTGTATTAATAGATCTCAGGGCTTCCATTTTCTTCACTTATCTGGAAGTTTCTGAACCTATCCTGACCTGAAACACTCCAACCTGAAAGGCATAAAGAATCATTTCCACCTTCATGACATGGGATGAGGTACAATGAAATACAAAGTCTTGGTTTGGAACCTTTCCTCACTCTGCTGTAAAAAAGGTTTCATGTGATGAAGGCAAAAAACAAAGTGGCCTAGACAAAACCCTCCTAACTTCAAAATTCACATTTACTTCTTCATAGGCCAGGATGGTTCAGTAATCCTTGTTTCACAAAGGGAACGCAAAGTCCTGACATCCACAACCCAAAATGCTGGCAGGGATTTGATACTCAGCTGCTGAAGAGGTGAAGTATGAAACAATGTTCTGCCAGATTCACAGCAGCCCCTGCTTGAACACAGACTCACACAGCAGTTAAAGAGCAGAGTAACCCCAAAACAGATAAGCAAGGTCTTGTGTCAGTGTCACACTTAAGACTACCCTTTAAGGCCTGCTGTGATGAGACAAAGAAACAGACAAATATAAAGTAAAGTTATTATTTCCAAAAGTGATCTTAAAACCAATCATTAATGAAAAGAAGTAGTGAATATATTTCAACTGAGGTACTGCTACTTGACTGGGTGAAGGAAATCAATACTCACAGGTAGTGATCAGGCTCAAACTTGGCAGCCTCAGCTGCCAGGCGTTTCCTCCTACGTTCATCTACAGGAGTTTGGTCTGGATCCTTAACGTCAATAACATCACTGAGTTCATCCTGCAAATGGAACAAAAACTGTATGACCAAGCCACAGGCATGATACACAAGATTCATTTAGCAGAGTTTAAGAAGGATGCTTATCAGCATTACACTGAAATACCCATACGCTCTTCAGTCTCCCTTTCCAATATTCCAAATTCAGGCTCCATTGTGCAAATAAAACATCAAAATTCCAAGAAAATTCAATTATTTAAAGCTCCCTAGATATTATGAAGTCTATTCAGGTTGGTTTATCATAATGCAGGCAGATTTTGCACGAACATAAAATTTGCAGTGTTTAACAAAAGCACACAACCACAACAAAGACAAAAAAAATCACAGATAGTGTTCTTTTGACCTTAATATTACTCTTACACTCTGAAGTGGCCATACATTAATTAATGGGCAATTGCAGTGCCCCTTTAAGCATCATTAAGTAGTGGACCATTAATGCTGATGGGAAATGTACTTCATGAATTTCACTGTAATAAATCAGTGTACAGAGTGTAAATACTTTCTCCATAAGTAGCAATCCTTCTGCTCCAAATCCTGAAAACACTACAATTCACACAATAATGAGTTAGTTACATAATTAAGTTGCTTTAAACAGCTACAACTTAAATTGCTTAGAGTAAGACTACAAAAAATTAAATTATCACCTACTATTTTAATAAAAGCTCTGAATACTATGACTATTATTATACTGCCTAGCATGCTACAGGTTGCAGATTAGCTTCAGTCTACTCATGAATTACAGAAACTGCTGAACACACAAGAGCAAAGTAACTGCATTTTAAAGCTCCTATTTGTCGTGGTTTAATTCCGGCTAG